GTCTTTTAAGGTTTTGACTTGTTCTCCTTGGATTTTCAAAACATTTCCACTTGTCGCTTTCAGAATCAAGTCTCTTGTTGACCTTTTTGAGAATTTGACAAATATTTTCCCGGGAAGCTTATTTTTCTTTATATATTCTGGATATGTACGATATATCATATCCATGTCACTTTGTAACACTTCTGCTGTTAAGCCTAACTGCGGGGGCCAGTTCCTTACTTAAAATCTCCTTCAGGTCCTCTCCTTTCTGCTCCGGAATGTTCTGAAATCTCAGGACATATGCTGATTTTTCCATTTTGAGAAGTAACAGTTGATGATTCTCAGAGATTTTATCCTTTTCCACCACCTCCAATCTTTGTCCAAACGTCTTGGACTTAAGATCAACTTTCTTCAGCTTCTTGGTTATCTTCTGCTGAACTTTCTTGAAGTTCTTTGTGCAATGTGTCAAATTTCTGGTTAAGCATGGTCATCTGGTCCACTAGAGGGCACAAGGCTGCAGCAAACATTTTGGAGAAGTCTATAGTTGCTTCCAGTTTAAAAGCCGGAGACGATGTGCTGGCTGCTCCTGTAAGTTTCCCTTCCCCTTGGGCATCCAAGGGTCCCACTGCCTCCCTGGGTGGTTTCCTGCTTCTAATGTATTTGAAGAATTTTTTTGCAATGTGTTCTTCATAGTCCCTTTCTGCCTGTCTTGTCACTGACTTTCATTTTATCTGTCAAAGCCTGTGCTCCCTTTTACTTACATCACTCTGACTAGCCTTCCACCACTTACTCATAGTCCCTTTCTGCCTGTCTTGTCACTGACTTTCATTTTATCTGTCAAAGCCTGTGCTCCCTTTTACTTACATCACTCTGACTAGCCTTCCACCACTTAAAGGAATCCTTCTTACCTTTTATTGCTTTCATTACTTTGTTTGTTAAACATGTAGGTGTTTATACCTATTTGTACCTTTCCTAATGTGTGGTATACATTTTCTCAGAGCTTCTAGGATTGTAGTTTTAAATAGTCTCCAAGCTTCCTGAAGGGATTTGATCCACCTTACCTTTCCTTTCAGTTTCTTCTTCACAAGAGAAAGAAGAAGGCTGCAGTGGCTCAAGTGTTTAAGATGCTGAACTGCAGACCAGAAGGTCAGTAGTTCAGCAGTTCAAGACCCGAGTGCCGCATGATGGGGTGAGCTCCCATCTCTGGTCCCAGCTCCTGCCAACCTAGCAGTTCAAAAGCAAGAAATTGCAAGTAGATAAATAGGTACCATTTCTGTGGGAAGGTAACAGCGTTCCGTGCACCTTGGCGTGTAGTCATGCTGGTCACATGACCATGGAAATGCCTTTGGACAGTGCTGGCTCTTTGACTTGGAAATGGAGATGAGCACTGGATCCCTAGAGTCGGATTCGACTGGATTTTGAGCAAGGGAAACCTTTACCTTTACCTACTCCTTCTAAAGTTATATGTGGTTGTGTTGGTCTTTTTGGGTAACTCCATATTTACATAAATGTTAAAACGTAATAGCATTATGATCATTGTTCCCAACTGGTGCTATCACATCTCTCACCAGGAATTGGGCATTTCTTAGGACCAAGTCCAAGATAACCTCCCTCATGGTAGGTTCAGTGACCATCTGCTCCATGGCACAGTCATTGAGAGTATCTAGAAACCCAGTCACTTTTTCCTGACTTGAACACATATTGACCCAATCAATGTGTGGGTAGTTAAAATCACCTAGGTAAAGGTTTCCCTTGCTCGAAAACCAGTTGAATCCAACTTTGGGGGCAGTGCTCATCTCTGTTTCCAAGAGCCAAAGAGCCAGTGCTGTACAAAGACTTCTCCATTGTTATGTGACCACTTCCCACTGAAGCGGTACCTATTTATCCAATTGCAATTTCTTGCTTTTGAACTGCTAGGTTGGCAGAAGCTGGAGCCAGAGACAGGAGCTCACTCTGTCACATGGCACCAGGGTCTCGAACTGCTGAGCTACAGACCTTCTGAGCCACTGCGGCACCAAAAAATCACCTATTATGACACAATTATTTTGTCTAGCTGCTTTCCTTAATGTTTTCCCTATCTTTAAACCATCCTCTAACCTTTGATCTTGTAGGCGATAACAAACTCCTTGAGTTAAACTTCTTTTGGGGCATACTATTTCCACCCATAGCATTTCTGTAAGTGAATCTATTTCCCTTACATCTTCAGTCTTACTGGACTGTATACCCTCTCTGATACATAGAGCACCTCCAACCTTCCCTCCCTATCCTTCTGATATAATCTATATCCAGTAATCACTGTATCCCACTGATTATTCTCACCCCACCAAGTTTCTGAAATGCCCACAATGACTATGTTTT